CTTGGAGGCAGAGGTTGTAGTGAGCCATGATCGCACCACTCCCAGGCCAAGGCAAGAGGATTCTTTGAGCCCAGGAGTTCTAGATGAGCCTGGCTGACACAAAAAGACCCTGTCTCTACAAATAATAAACATAAATGAGTCAGGTGTAGTGGTGCACACCTGTAGTCCCAGTTACTTGGGAAGCTTAGGTGGGGGAATTGCTTGAACCCAGGGAGTAGAGGCTGCAGTGAGCTGTGATTACACCACTGCACTCCAGCCTGCATGACAGAGCAAAACCCCATTTCAAAATTATATATATATATATATGTTCAGCTTTCCTATGTCCTTGGTTTTTACAAATTTTACAATTTTTTTTCCTTTTTTATAGTTTGTTCAAATCAGACTCACAGATCCATGCTTTACAACTGCTGATGTGTCTCTTAAGTCTCTTTTAGTCTAGAGGTTTCCTCTTCCTCTGTTTTTTTCTCCTTACAACTTATTTGTTAAAGAAACTGAGCCGCCGGGCGCGGTGGCTCAAGCCTGTAATCCCAGCACTTTGGGAGACCGAGGCAGGTGGATCACGAGGTCAAGAGATCGAGACCATCCTGGTCAACATGGTGAAACCCCGTCTCTACTAAAAATACAAAAAACATTAGCTGGGCATGGTGGCGCGTGCCTGTAATCCCAGCTACTCAGGAGGTTGAGGCAGGAGAATTGCCTGAACCCAGGAGGCGGAGGTTGCGGTGAGCCGAGATCGCGCCATTGCACTCCAGCCTGGGTAACAAGAGTGAAACTCCGTCTCAAAAAAGAAACTGAGCAGATGTGTCCATTTTTTGAAATGGAGTTTTGCTCTTATTGCCCAGGCTGCAGTGCAATGGTGTGATCTCGGCTCACTGCAACCTCCACCTACCGGGTTCAAGTGATTCTCCTGCCTTAGCCTCCCAAGTAGTTGAGATTACAGGTGCCCGCCACCCCCATGCCACCTAATTTTCTTTTGTAATTTTAGTAGAGACAGGGTTTCACCATGTTGGTCAGGCTGGTCTTGAACTCCTGACCTCAGGTGATGCACCCACCTCGGCCTCCCAAAGTGCTGGGATTACAGGCCTGAGCCACCGCACCTGGCCCCAAGTGTCTTATAGGGCCTCACAGTCTGGCTTTTGCTGAATGCATACCCATAGTGTCCTAATGTGTTTCTCTGCCCCTTGTATTTCTTGTAAACTGGTAAGTAAATTTAGGCCTGCATTGTCCAGCGTGGTAACCTGTGGCTACTAAGCACTTGCAATGGGGCCAGTTCAAGTTGAAAAGTGCTGTAAATGTAAAACACACATTGGAGTTTCTAAAGTCTTGGTATAAAACCAAAAGTGTCTCATTAATGATTTCTGTATTGATTGCATGTCAAAATGGTAATACTTTGGATATATGGAGTTAAACAACATATATTATAAAACTTAATTTTTGTCAGGTGCTATGGCTCACACCAGTAATCCTAGGACTTTGGGAGGCTGAGGTGGGTGGATCACTTGAGATCAGGAGTTTGAGACCAGCCTGGCGAACAAGGTAAAACCCTGTTTCTGCTGAAAATACAAAAATAAGCTGGTGTGGTGGTGGGTTACTCAGGAGAGGCTAAGGCAGGAGAATCGCTTGAACCAGGGAGGCAGAGGTTGCAGTGAGCTGAGATGGCGCCACTGAACTCTAGCCCAAATGACAGTGAAACTCCATCTCAAAAAATGAGAAAAAAAAAAGAAAACCAAAACAAAACTAATTGTATCTGTTTTTCACTATTTCAAACGTAGCTACTAGAAAATCTTAACTTACATATGTGACTAACATGTTTCTATTAGACAGTGTTGGTGTAAAGTCTTGATCAGTTTCAGAGTCAAATTTTGTTTGTTTGTTTGTTGTTTTGTTTTTTTGAGATGGAGTCTCGCTTTGTAGCCCAGGCTAGAGTGCAATGGTGTGATCTTGGCTTAGTGCGACCTCTGCCTCTCAGGTTCAAGCGATTCTCCTGTTTCAGCCTCCCAAGTAGTGGGGATTACAGGCGCATACCACCACACCTGGCTAATTTTTTGTATTTTTAGTAGAGACAGGGTTTCACCGTGTTAGCCAGGATGGCTTCCATCTCCTGACCTCGTGATCCGTCTGCCTCAGCCTCCCAAAGTGTTAGGATTACAGGTGTGAGCCACTGCACCCAGCCCAGAGTCAAGTTTTTTTGGCATGACTACTTCATGGGAGTGGAGCATTTTCCCATCAGGTTTATAATGCCTGGATACTTTTGTTTTCTCCTTCTTTTGGAGGTAATGTCGGCAGTCATGAATGATCATTGCCTAGACCATCTATTTCATTAGGAGTTGTAAAATGGTAACATTTCATCATTTCTTTTTAATATATTTGACTAGAATAGTTCTTTAAACAGAAACATTTTCTTTCACATAGGAAAGGCAGGAAAAATTATATCCCTTCATTTGCCAAGTTTCAAATGATGAGATTTCCCCACTACATTCTCTATAGGGGCTTAATGCATTTGTTATTTTGCATAGCACTATGACCACGTGGATTTAAACATACTTAATGTTTCTTTTCACCATAGGTATGCCCATTGATGCATAAAGTGTCCCGTTTTGATGCAGTGGGGGCTTCACCAAATTGTTTGAATTTTTTTGACACAACTCCACTGGCTTATTGTATATATCTACATTCCCTTCCAATTCTTCCCTGCCTCAGACTGGAATCAACAATTTCTCAGAGAAAGCTCAGTTGTTTTTAATGAGAAAAGGTATTTAGAAACCATAGTCTGGGAGCTAGTGGTGCTCACTTCTATCAGTCATTGTTTCCAGGCTTTTTGAGAGGACACAGCTAGAAAACAAACTTTTCTAAGATAAAATATTAATATATCATGAGTTCATAGTGATACTTATAATTCATGTTCTGGGCTGGATGTTTTATTTAACCTTGACAATTCTTTATTTTCATCTCCTTTCTCTTATGTTGAAGTCCCAGTTCTCAATATTAACATTTCTTTTTGTTTTATCTCACAACACAAACAATACAGACTCAGAATAACAATACTGACACTACCAAAGATAAGATTACTGAAAACAACTATAAAAATGCTTTCAGTTTTTTGTCCTTAGGATAAGTCCTCAAGAGATGAAACAATGTACTGTGTCACTTGAAACGGTTTTGCTGTGTGGTACCAACTGGATGCAAAGGTTTATTAATTGCATTTTGCTTTTTGATTTCTAGGCATGACATTTGGTTTATAATTACGTTAATTCCAAAGTCAAATCTATACTCTGGGAATCCTCAAGTATAACTTCCATTCTTTTCCCTTACGCCTGTTCTTTTTTGTCCCCAAAGCTATTTTTTAAAGGCTTTATTCTTTCATTTTTTAAACAAAGCAGATATGCGTATATACTTTAAGTCAAACTGTGTACCTTCCTTCACCTTGTTTTCCAGTTAATGATTAATAATCAGTTGATTGGCTGGGTGTAGTGGCTCATGCCTGTAATCCAGCACTTTGGGAGGCCAAGGTGGGTGGTAACTTGAGCCCAGGAGTTTGAGGCCAGTCTGGCCAACAGGGCAAGTCTCCCATCTCTCCAAAAAACAAAATAATTAGTCAGGAATGGTGGTGCTTGCCTGTAGTCCCAGCTATTCAGGAGGGTGAGACAGGAGGATTGCTTGAGCCTGGGGAGTTGAGGTGGTGGGCCATGATTGTACCAATGCAATCCAGTTTGGGCAAGATAGTGAGACCCTGTCTCAAAAAAATGAATAAATATGCTGGGCACAGTGCCTCATGCCTGTAATTCCAGTCCTTTGGGAGGCCAAGGCTGGGTGGATCACCTGAAGTCAGGAGCTCAAGACCAGCCTGGCCAACATGCCAAAACCCTGTCTCTACTAAAAACATAAAAATTAGCTGGGCATGGTGGCAGGTGCCTATAATCCCAGCTACTTGGAAGGCTGAGGCAGGAGAATTGCTTGAACCCAGGAGGTGGAGGTTGCAGTGAGCCGAGATCATACCACTGCACTCCAGTCTGGGTGACAGAGCAAGACACTGTGTCAAAAAATAAATAAATAAAATAAAATAAAAATAATTGTAGCACCACTCTAAAGCAAGTTAGGGAACTATTCCTCAATTCTTTTTACAGTTGTATAGTATTCCACTGTGTGAGTATACCACGGTTAACTCAACCAGTGCCCGACTGATGGAGATTTAGGTGTTTTGCTATTACAACAATTAGGTTAATTTGGACAAAACAGAAAAGCAAGGCTGAGAGGGTAATTTGTTCAAGTTCATGTAGACAGCAAGCATGTTAAGTTAGATTTGGCTAGAGTAATGTAAGAACTCAAAAGAATAGTGGTTTGAATACTGTGCTCAAATGTAAATGGCAGGTAGGGCAGGGCTGGTATGAGTTTGAGTTTGGTATGGTATGGTATGAGTTTCAGGAGTTTCTCAAAGACCCATGCTCCTTCAAACTTGTCCAGCAGCACTTGACTTCCATACATCATGGTCCAAGGTGGTTGTGACAGCTGTAGCTAGAGCAGCCACATTCTAGCCAGGAGGAAGGAGGACAGGGTAAAGAAAAGCATGCCCTGATCCTCAGGGATACCTTCAGAATTGGAAAGAACCACTTCTGCTGTCTACCCATGGTGAGCTCCATTGCACTTATGTTGACCTTCATGGAAACTCTTCTATGCTGCTGGTGAGTTCCTGGACACCCAAGTGAGGACCTATACAGGTCTGCTCTGTACCTCCGGTGAGCTCTTTTAAACCCATGGTGTTTCTATATGGCCAATGTGATCTCATCTATGCCTATGGTGTCTTCTACACCCATGGTGAGCTCCCTTCCCCCCAGGAGGCGTTCTGCTGGAATGGGCTATCTACCCGCAGTAGGATCTCACACCTGTGTTAACATCTTCACATGTGGAGAGCACTTCAGTGCCCAGGGTGACCTTAGATCATGACTGCTTCAAACATCTGGAAAGCACTTGAGTTCCCCTCAACACACACTAAGTTCCCCTACCTTCTGGTGATGTGTGCCTCTCCCCATGGGAGTGTGATCTGGTCCTGATTTGCGGCCCCCTCTATGTCCATGGTGAGTTCTATTACCCATGGGGAGTTCCCAAGTAGGGGTGGGGCATTCCTCTACCTCCAAACCTCTCAGCCATGGGGATCTCATCTATACCCTCAGTCAGTTCTATGTCCTTGTTTCCAACAGGTTCTTGCACTAACTGTTCTACTAGCTCCTCCAAATGCATGAACTACAGCCCTAAATGTCTCCTGAAACAAGCTTCTTTTTCTGCACCCCCTAACCTGTGGCTGTCACCTGTTTTCCTAGCTTAATTAACAGAATGACCTTCATCCAAGATAGAAACCTCAGTTGACCTTGGGCTCTCCCTTTGCCTCTAGCCCAAATACAAAGAGCCAAATGCCCTTGAGTTCTTGTTATTTTTTTAATCTGGGTGCGTGGGATCTTCTCATAGCTTTCATGGCAGTTCAGGTTCACTCTCCCTCTTTTGCTTAAGTAATTTCTGCAGGTCTTTTTTACTGGTCTTGCTATCTGTTTCTTTCGCTTCAACAGTACTCCCCACTGCTTTTTGAGGTGACTTCCTATAAAACAAAAATTCAGCCAACTGTTAATAGTGGTTAACATGGGTGGGGGGAGGGGAGAATGGGAAATGTGTCTATTTCTGACATGATTGGATTATTTACTTATTTATTATTTTGAGATGGAGTCTTGCTCTGTCACCAGGCTGGGGTGCAGTGGCGCAATCTCAGCTCACTGCAATCTCCACCTCCTATGTTCAAGTCATTCTCCTGCCTCAGCCTCCCGAGTAGCTGGGATTACAGATGCACACTGCCACACCTAAGCTAATTTTTGTATTTTTAATAGAGACGGGGTTTCACCATGTTGGCCAGGATAATCTTGATCTCCTGACCTTGTGATCCACCCACCTCAGCCTCCCAAAGTGCTGGGATTACAGCCACGAGCCACAGCAGCTGGCCATGATTGGATTTTTTAAATAATAAGGTATACATTTCCTATTATCAGAAAAATTAGTAAATAAAACAGTAGGCTGCCTTTTGTCTTTAGGATACACTCCAAACTTCATTTGGTGGCTAGTCTTCCCCAAAAAAGGGCTCTCACATTCCTCACATGGAATTTCTTCATTCCCAACAATGCCTCACTTTTCCGGTTGGGCCAGTGTTTACTGGCCTAACAAATACAGCGTCCCCACAGCCTCTGCTCTCTACCTTGGTGGTCCTAGTGTTCTACGCAGGATCAGAAAGCACTGAGGGCATTCGACAGACAATTGACCTGACACAAGGACCTAGATGAATAATGTCTTTGGAAGGGCTGGGTAACAGGAATCAGGGACAACTCTGGATCCACAGGGTTCAGGAACAATCTGCTGAGGCAGTCATCCAAGAATTAGAAGGCTGCACTGCCACAACCACTACAGCTAGTGCTCGACTTACGACCATGATTGGTTCTGACAGACCAGTCGTAACACGATTTGGTCCTAAGTTGAGTAGGCTATATTCACGCGGAGATAGTAGTGCTGGCGGAAGCTGGTCCGCACTGTCGTACGCCCAGCTGGGCAACGTTTGCGCTGCCAGATGCGGAGCAGTCGTGGCTAGCGATTGTGGTCGTAAAGTCGAATGGTCGTAGGTTGCATAGGTCTAAGTTGATCAATACAGTGGAACGCTGGTCTAGTCATTCCAACTGGCTGGCATGTCTCTTCAAACTTTCTTATCTGCAGCCACTATAGTAGGAAGGTGCCCCTATGTCATGCTGCCTTCCAAACCGAATATGCACTCAGAAAGCTAGCTGCAAGGGAGTCAAGTAGTTTTCAGCTTTCTAGCCTCTGTAGTGGAGGACAGGCACAAAAGCAAGTGAGATGGAAATCATGGGCCAATTGATAGTGCCCAATGCAGATACTGCTGGGAAGTGAAGAACAGACAAAAGGCTGCCTCTACTGGCCTTGATTCTTAGGACAAGCAACAGAAGGGCTGCAGAAGTGACAAAAAAAAGCCTAGTTTCAGGAAAAAGCACTCCTAAAGAGTTGGCCATGATGTGGGACTGAAAAAGGTCAAGGCCAAGGGCAATGCAAAGGCCTGTATAAGCATCAAAGGAGACAGGAAAGAGAAGGTTCTGAGAGACAGGAAATACGTCCAAGAATTGGGCTTTCAGAATAGAATTCCAAATCATATTCTGAGTATAACTCCTGCAAAATCCTCCAGTCTGCTTTGGTTTCTAGAGACCATAAATTGCTCTAAAGTTATCTATAGGGAAAAGATCACCAGGACCATTTAAGAAGAATCAGGGACAACCATAACACTTTAGAAATACATAGGACACAAGGTACTTCAATTTTCTCCTTTCCTCAACAGTTTTATTGCCTTTTAAGAAAATTTTTGTAAAATATAAATACAAAGGCAGAGAATTTACTTACAAAGTTAAAACACAGATTTCAAACATAAACACACGATTCAGAAAATTTTAGTTTTATGTACATTTCCGAGCAACCTCAACATATTATGTTAGTTTTCAATATTTTACAGGGTACAGAAAAAAATAGCTCAAAGTCTTCTTTAAATAAGAGCATAAAATGTTTAAACATATAAACAATCCGGTTTGATGCGTGAAAACTAATTTCACAGCTTTTAAATTAGAATATAAAAGTTTCATACAATTAGTTGTTGTGTGTGGATATGGTTTGAATTTATATTACATACTACTGGATTACATCCAATAGCATTTACCTGGCCCGAGCAGGTACTCTGTAAACAAAACAAAGTTATATCACCAAGTGCCTTCCCCAAATTCGCTCCCTCAAACCAACCACACAGTTCTGACCACTCTACACAGTCATGGCCTCTGTCATCAGAGCTTTGTATGAAATTAAGTCAAAGTGTGGAGCTCTTTTTCCTCATTTTTTTTCTCTTTAAAAAAGAAAAGAAACAAATGTTCCAAGTAAAAACAAACATATCCCAAAGCATGTGAGCATTGAAAAGTAAAGAAACATTATAACAGCTTCATAAAAACTGACTTAAAAGTTTAAAAGTAAAAGAAAAACATGTTTCTAAGTCCTTCTGACTGGAGTAATTTCTCTTATATAAAGAAGAGATATTTTCATATGTAATAGTGTCCTTTCTTTACAGAAATAGTCGTATTATGACACATATGCACAAGGATTAACACTATAACACACTGTACACAGCGGGTCTGGCTCGCTCACCAGTAGTCCTCTGAGACCAGATCGCTTGGGTGGAGCCACTCTACGGAGGAGCCCAGAAGAGTCTGAATTTCATTTGTGAATTCCACCAGATCTAACAGCTCCTTACTTTCAGGGTTGAAGGCTTCCAGGTCTTTGGAGCAAGAGAACAAGAGACTTGCAGAAACCTGCCGATAAAACTCTGCCTCTGCAATGGTGACAATTTCCACGTTTGGAAAATTGCAGCGAAATATGCGGGACGACATTTTCAATTTCTTAAGGACGTCTGAAAGCAGTAGCCAGTTTCGTGGCCTACAAAACAAAGGAAAATGCTTTGAGTTTCCAGTAAAATGAAAAGTGCTCCCAACTATTAATATTAACTACCAACCCAACTGGACCAGCCTCTAGCTGTGTTCCTTTGACTCTGCTCCTGCCCCTCATTTCTCACCATACCTACTCTCTGATTGCCATTTCTTTCTAAGGTGAGGGAGAGTAACTACTTCTAGCAGTAGGAACTCTGAACTCAACTGTCCATCTAGGGAGGACCATCCGAATAAGCCTCATTTCTCCCTTTTCTGGTGGTAAAGTCCTGCTCATTCAGCTGTGACCACAACCCGGGTCACGCCTATCCAAGTGCCCTGTTATCAACAGTCACTGGGGGATTAAGTCTGTGTATCCCCACTTCTTCAATCTCTTCTCTCCTCAGACCCTCACTAACAGCATTACAAATACACAAGGCTGTCTCTCCTTTCCATTCAGGCATGTCCACTGCCATGCTTTCATTCTTTTGGGAGAAGGAAGGTGTTACATTCCTTGCATATATAACCCACCATACTTTATGAGTTGATCACTGTTTGTAATGGCATACATGTTTATAGCTTCAGACCTGAGGAGGATGTTACTCATTAAGCAGCTTTGTCAATACACAGCAGAGCAGTCTCTTGACAAGTACACCCAAAGTGATTGGTCACTGGCGTTTAGGGGCTCAACCATAGCGGGCAGAGGGGATTAACTAAATCTGATGACACACCAATGTCCTAAGTGTCATGTATAGTGACTATCCTCATCTTATACAAGGTGGTTTATCAGTGTAGTCCAGTACATCTCAAAGACCTGGGAAGGCTCCTACAGTGGCCTGCGGCAGGAAGTCCTAGGGAGGACACCTTCCCAAGGTGGTTAGGGATTGAAGTACCCAAGGTGCTGACCCTTCCATAAAGTTCCCAGTCACCCACTTCAACTTCCTTTGGGTTCTGGGGAGTGACTTAAGCCTTGGTGTTAGTGATAAAGGCAGTTTATACCATGCTGTGCCCCACCCCCCACCACACTGGGTATAAGGAAGCTGATACGTACCCCTTCTGGAAAAGATCTACTGCATTGTGTGAGGTTCATGGACAGTTAAGGAGTTCACTCGCCCACCCACCCTCATCTGCTTAAAGGGCATTTCTAACTCCTGTCACCTCAAGAGCAGCTCAGCTAGTTTTCAACCACATGATAGTCATGCTTACCCCTGAGCCACAGATACTTGGATGTTATAACACGGTAAGAGGGGGGTCTCCGAAAATTCAAATTCAAACACATCACTATAGGCATCGTCATCATCATCCTGGTCTTCTGGTCCTGGGGGGTTCGCTAAAACATCATAGCCACTTTCGTCATCTGGTTCTAATGGAGGGCAAATAAGAGAGGAAGTAATCAGTAAACTACAGCAAGATATCCAGTTGTCAACAACAAGGACTTTAAATAACAAGATTCTTTCCCAAGTGAGTCCTGCTTCCAGTGCCCGCTTTCCCTCACCCATACCAGACAGACATGGACTGGAACTTGTTCACCTCCCACTGAACTAGCACAAACAATGCAGCTTACCACAAACAGAGC